AACCCCAAACTAACCCTTACCCTAACTTTAATTAAAAACAAAAAACACGTGACTGGACACGGCTTTAGACGTCCCCCATATTTGGGACGGTCTCCCTTGCACCTATTTGTTGTAAATGGTTAAATGATACGTAGTGCAAAAAACGCCATGTACGTACGTACGTACGTAGTTTGTGCAAGAGAAAAAAGCCGAGAAAAAAGTTGTTTAAAAGAGTGTTTGGCTGTTATTATAGAAACGTTGGTTTTTAAGCTATAAAAGTGGTTTATAGCTTACTAAGGGAAGTTTATATATTGCATCTCAAGAAATTTACCGTCGAGTTAAAAGAACCAAACAACATTTCTTTGCTTTATTTGTCTATATTAGACTGTGTAACATTCTCAAATAAATTTACGGTATTTACTGCATTCTAACATTTAACAATCTAATTTTCATCTAAAGACTAATTTGCTATAAAATCACAACAAGGGATGGATTCTGAAAAATGGACAATTAAATTAAATGGGACAAATCACCCCTAGTCGGAAACGCAAGAGGTAGTGAAGTAGATGACCTTGACAAAATCGCTAACGAACTTGGCACTAGCAAATCAAATCTTCTGAACAATGATATAATAAAGGATATATGTGTGAAACAAATTAAAATCTGGCATTTGGATTTTATAGACGCAATTCAATTCTTTTACAAAATAACAACAAATGATAAAACTTATTCAATTGATGGTAATAAGAATGGGGGCACTGGCGGGAAGGAAACTATAATTAATTAACTTTGAAGATGGAGAGTATATCGCAGCAATTTATGGAAAATATGGTAAAGAGTCTCACGGTAATATCGATGAATTAAATTTTATAAAATATATACCTTCCAAGAAGCAAGTGAAATTCTTTACACATTGTGGTAAATATAATACTACACCATTCGATATGTCATCAGCAGCTGGTGCTGTTTATGCCTGCTTTTTTGGAAAATGCACAGACAAATCTGTAACTAGCATTGGAATGTATGAGGGAAAAGTGCATTCAATTCTAGAACAACAAGTTCAACTTCAACAGCTTTCTGGCGTATTATTTCCAAATAAACCTTATGATTTTCTTGTTCTCAAACAAGAAATCGCTCGTCTTAAATATCAAGATCTGGCACCACAAGTCAGAAACGAAAAAATCAAATTTGAGGAATTAACTACAAACATCAAGACCAAAGCCGCTCACCTAGAAAAAGTAGTTGACTTGTTGTTAGAAACCCAAAAACAAGCTATCAAAAGTAATGATCAATTAATCCAGGGCCAATTAACTGCTTACAAAAATATCCTTGAAGGTAGCTTAACTAAAGAGGAATTACAAATTCTCCTTGATAAGCAAACGGAACTTTATCAGTTGGAAGATCACTTGGCTAATTTGCAAATAGACTTGCCATCAAAATCATAGTTTGTATAATATTTCGATTCATCAAAATACATGATTTATTACAGCGCATTTGTAAACTACCCCAAAATTTGAAAATTTTGATCACTAATGAGATAATCATTGTTCCCCAAGTTATGATGCGTCATTTTAATAAATTCCTATGTCCAATGAGATGCGTCGGATGTGGGAAGATGGGTTAGCCTGTGGGGAAGATGGATTAGACGCGTTATCGTTACAGATCAGGAGATCAAAAACATTTTTCGGGTTTACGATTGATTAATTAATATATAATTTGGTAACTAAAATTTAATTCGGGGGCCAAATACTTGGATTTGGTAACAAATAGTCTGCTTAATTTCGCAAATGCGCTGTAATGTTTAAACAGTTATTAAATTTCTTGATTTGTATAAAAATATATTGGAAATAATTACTATTACGTGTAACTCTGGTTATAATGACTTTCAAAAACTAATAAAAAAAAATTCAAAGTTTCGCTACATCAAGTCATACTAACATTGATATTAGAATTTTGAAAAAATATTGGCATAGAAAGATTTTGTTATAATATCATTATAACCAGAGTAATTTGTAATCTCTGAGTTATAGATGCAGACATATTGTCGTATTAGTTATGATCTATTTTAAAACCCGGTTTGACAACTTTTTTATATTGAGGTAATTAAGTTACGACCTTATTGTGTCAATATGTCTGCATCTGAGTTTCGCTAAAAGAAAACCCGAAAATTTAAATCTGACTTATTTAAATTTTCGGGTTTTCTTTTAGCGACACTCATCTCTACTTTGAGCGCATTCTTGTATTTATGTAATTTAGATAGTTTAATAACAAAAATGATTATCTCATATAAATTTACTATTTCTAAAAGAATAAAAGATGATAGTGTCTAGTTTTTATTTATATGTTAACTAATCAGATTACCTTAAGAGATTTTTTGCTTATACTTTAGTATAGAAAAACTGTATATAAGTGTATAGAATGATAAGCAATGACTACCGTGTCTAGATTCGATTTAGATCACTAAAAGCGCGATGATATAGAAAATTGGACGAATTTCATGCCAATGTTTTTTAAGCATATTATAAAATTTTGATTCTCGGAAACTTAATTAAAGCAAAACTGAAGATAACTGTGTGAATAATTAACCACCCAAATTGTAAATTTGAATTTTCTTTTTATTATATTTTAATCCAATTTTATTTTTTAATTATTGTGGCAGATCATAATGAAATCAGATCATAATGAAATTTAACTTATTTTATATACGATTTTTAAAAATTTTTGTGACCTTTTTAGTTAGGTTTTTTTTTATAGTTAAGTTAGGGTTTAGGGTTAGAATTATTAGGAAAAGAGTATAGGTGAATTTTGGTAGAGCTGATATCTTTTAATTGAGACCCCTAAATTTCATAATGATCTGATTTCGATCTGCAACAATTATTATATTAGAATTTTATTATTAGCACGAATAACGCACCCCGTAAGATCTGCGCAACATGAAATTAAAACAAACCCGTGCCTTTTTCATTTATTTACAGCACGTGTTTAAAAAAAAACTAAATCGGAACACTTTCATATTTTATCAAATATGAAAGTGTTCCTATTTAGCTATTTTATTTTTATTCAATTGATTTGTCTTCATATTTTTAAAATGGTCGTTAGAGCATTAGGTCTTTACTTTTTTAAATTATCATTGGACGGTGTTAACATTAGATTGTTTTCATTTTCTTTAAATTTTTTTTGGAATGATTATTATAAAATTAGTCTTTCTTTAAAGTCTTGTTGAAGTCAGGGTTATTATATCTTCGTTTTATCTTCGTTTCTTTAAATTCATGTTAAATAGAATCACATATTTTTAGATTTTGCATTTTTTTAAAATTCTTATCGCTTTCTATAAAATTCTTACTAGACAGAATCACGTTTTT